TTTTCTTTTTTGGTTCTTTTTGGGTACGGGAAAATTCGCTTCGAACGGGAGGCGAAAACTGCTGACAGTTGCATAAACAATAAAGGCAGACCCCCAACCCAAAAAGCGAACTCAGCCAGCGAAACGGGCCAACGAATGCGGTCAACATCAAAAGAAAGGACACACAAAAAAAAAAACTGGAAGGGCTGCAGCAAGGATATGGGGTGAGGTGAGGCCAAAAGGAGCCAGTCAGAGATGGCCAAAGGAGAGCGAAACAAAACTAGAACTATTACTGACACATACTACCATACATCGCGAGTAGCTTCCATGTAACCCAAAACACTAAACAGCAGAGGTTACAATAATAGGAATTACAATAGAAGCACCCAAAGACATATTCAATCTTTAGGGACACTATATATGTAGATTGTAATGTAATAATTGTGAGAAAAGCATTTTAACTTCCAATGATACAAATAATGGAAAAATAATGTTCAAAGAACTTTTGAAGCTTGGAGGGTCTAGATCTTTTCCTAACTTCAAAAAAAATTTATGATATTAAATATAAATAAATAACTAACCTATTATCAATCTTAAAGATACAAGTTCAAAAGTATCTTAATGGGTATTATGGAACTTGTTGCTATAAAAACTTTCAGGATTCCTGAAATCTATTTCGAATCCTATTATTTTAGCCACATTTGTTTCTAGCAAACACCCGCTACCTACCTACCAATTTCCACTCCATCCTCATCTCCATGATGGCTAAAACAACAATGTGACATTTTTTCCGCTTTGACGACAATTTCCCTCGCGGCACAAACGGCAACAGCCACTGCAACAGCAACTGCAACACCATTGCCATCGTCACTATAGCTATATATGTAGTTATAGCCAAAGCAACTGAACGATACAACCAACGCGGGTAAAGAAACCCGAAAGCGAGAAAAGAGTTTGATTTCTTAAATGTCGAAGTGGGAAATACTCTTTTGGTTTTTCATAGTTTTTTCATAAAAATATATTTAATATATTTTAAAAGAATTAATTTGTCGGATGCCATTAACAATAATTAAGTTTCCAAAATTCTAAGCAATTTATTTCTTAAACTCTGTTGAGCCAAATAATCCTTGCATCACAAGCACCTCTATAAAACCTAAGATATCCATTTAAAAAGGATCTGCCAAAAAAGAAGAAAAGTCTAGGGATATAGCGGATGTGTATCTGTACGCAATGTCGCCGTCATGCCAAGAAGGATGTGCAAGGAGCACTTGCAGTTGAATTCGCAGGACTCTTCATTTCAACATTCCCAGCATTGCCTGCCTTTTGCCAAGAGAACGAGAATGAGAACGAGTATCACAAAAGCACGAAATTGATTGTGTAAATAAGAAAACGAAAATGTCGTTAGTTTACGTTTTCCGCTGACAAGCTTTTGAAACTGGCCAGAACGCAGGACGACGAGGTCCTGGAAATTCAGTGGCAAATAAAAGCGAGATGATGCAGAGACAAAATAGCATTGAGATAGAGATAGACAAAGCAGCAGGGGCGAAATTAAAAATGGAATTCACTCGTTAGTCGCATTTGCAGTTTGCCAGCCAGTTTATTGCCAAACTGACTTTGACGCGAGGCATTATCGGTGCAAAATTGATAGCTCCGCTCGAAAGGAATCCAAGAGGATGAAGTGAAAAATGTCACAAAAGCACTTTGCCCGCACCAATGGCAATTCGCAGACAGACTCCCATCAATAAGTCAAAAATGCACATCATCCGAAATGCATTGTAAAGAGAATTCTTTATTGAAACAGCCATTTGATCTGCCTGATTTGAAAGGGTTGTAAAACTGCTTGACTAATATAGTTTCTAAGAAAGTATTTTTGCAGAAAAAATATTGCTGCTAAGCAATGACCTCAGAAAAACTCAGAATTATAATTTAAAGTAGCCCAGACTTTCAGATACTTAATCATATATTCACTAAAATAAATCGTTACATGTAGGGTAATTAACATAATTCTAAAAGAGTTTACTATAATTAATAAATATAATTGTAAAAAATTGATTTAAATTATTATTTAATTTCTTTCTCAATACTTTTAAATGTTATTTGTAAGACAAGAAATTAATCAATCGAAAATAAGTTAATGTTTTATATTTAAAAATTTAAATAACAAAAAAGGAAGCTATCTTCAGAAAGGCAAAGTTTGTAATTAAGTAATGCGCCAATTACGGAATAAAAGAAAATAAATGCATAGCTAACATATGATATAATTGTCATTCTTAAAACTTACCGCAGTAGAGGACACGTGGTGATCATCGAAGAGGGCTTCTTCCTGGTTATCCGGTTGCATTGCATTGATCAGGTCATATTGTTGAGGACTATCACTACTTGCACTATCACTTTAGATGTTACCTCCGCGGCCTCCCCGGAATGACTGAGGCGCGCGGGCCCAAAGTGCCTCTATTTATAGTCACCGAGCGGAGAGAACAGAGAAAGTGAGAGCGAGAGAGTAAGAGATACCTCTAGAGATAGGCGGCGAGCTAGAGGAATGAGGGCTATAGACGTGCACAGAGAGTGAGAGTGAAAGAGAGCGCGAGAGTTTTGCATTTCGCTCAACCTTTAACGATCGTTCCGATGGCAGCTATATGATATAGTCGTCCGATCTTAATAAAATTAAAACCGAAATTATTAAATAATACAATAATACAAAAGGTTGCAGCGATATGAAAGAATAATTTCAGATCCTATAAATGATATATATTCTAGATCAGCATAATCTGAATCGATCAGCCATGTCTGGTAAGAACATGCTAAGTTATAAGTTTAAACTATGATTTTCTTTGAAATTTTTCAGATAAAAATTTTTATATCAAAATATCGATAAATAAAATATTTATTAAAAGATTACCAAGTCCCAAGTCATTTAAAATATTGTATTTTACTTTACATAGATGGAACAAATGATTATATGCTCAGGATTTAAAATGTATAGAAAGCCAGTCAAGTCAGTAGCCCAGAAATTTGCAACCTAAACAGTTTGCAACATCTCCTCGAAAGTCCTTTGAGAATGCCTCCTTTCTTTGCAGTTTATCAATGGCTGACCATCGACCTTGGCCAGAACTTAAAAAGACCAATAGAAAGGCTGAGAAAACTTTTGGAAAATAGTCGAGAGTGGGTGAGAAATAGGACGGAAACAAAGGGAAATGGTTGGCAAATAATTTAACTATCCTTGCGGTGTTTTTGCTGGCCAAAAGGACTATCTCTGAATCCCTTTTCGAATCGGCTATCGGTCAGTTCGTTTTGCAGTCGTCTTCCTGGGTCAGTTCGTAATGTGTCCGTCGACTTTGTGGAAATTCTATACGAATATTTCCTGCGCCCTTTGGCACTAGAAAAAATGTTGTAGTTTAAAACCATTTAAGGTATAAAATAAAGTTGTATTTGTAGTAAATTCTTTAATAAATTTAGTATTCAATTTCTATAAAATATTTATCAATTAAATAATAAAATACATACATTTAAATTTCATAAAAATTGCACAAAAACTTTACTGAGCTTTTTTAAATGCACCACCGAAACCACAATAGATTCCCTTTGGCGCCACCGATTTCTGGCACCAGTTCAAACTTGCCTTCGTCCTTATTTCTCACACCACCTCCACCCACAAGTCCTGGCTACTTATGCCAGTCGCTGCCTTCTAAATTGAATGAAAGCACATTTTGATTGAAAAGGAAATTTACGGTGAACTTATATAGACACAGACAGGAAACCGCAACAGTTCGCAGGACCTCGGGCATATCCTGCATGGCTGCTTTAACAGCCAATGTACCGTTGCCCGTCGCATCTCCCGACGGATTTATCAGTCAATGTTGGAAAATTAGTTAACGGGTTTTGCCCCAGCAACTTTTTCCCCTTTTTCCCTTTAACTTGGCCAAAGAGTTTGACTGCGCTAACCAAAACATTTAAGGCTCAGTGTCCGTCAAAGGAGGGGAAGCAAGGGGATTTTGTTGAGGAAAACCTCAGTCGTTTGAAGTTGAGGCTTGAAATTAATTTAAAGCGCCAACTAGTTGGTCAGGGAAACTTTGGTAATTAACCTTGAAGTGAGCCAGATTTCAGCCCACTATTAAGTTCAAAGGGAAGCCAGTAAATGAGCAACAGAGATGTGAGTTCTAGGTATCTAAGAACTTTATTTCACATATGTAGATAAATATAGGTTGTTTATATAGTTAATATGCGAATATTCAATACAAAGTGCCTTTAAACTAACTCTACTATATATAGACACTACATTAATATTAGAACAATTTGTATAAGAATATGTTATATTGGTTACAATTATTTCTACTCTGTTGTACTTTTCACAAATAATTTTGAAAAAGCGGAAAGTGAAATTAAAATTAATCGGTTTATTTGTGCCCTCTTTACCGTGAAACCTTCGCCTTGCAAAAACTAAAAATCAATATAACTTGGCAACTATTTTGTCTTATTTTTATTTTGTTATTATTATTGTTACTATTATTATTAGAAATGTATTCGGTTAATTTTTTGTATTTTAGGTACTTTTTGACACATAAAATGTATTTATTAATATATGTATATAATTTTTGATTAATTGATACTATAGAAAGCACATTCATTGAGATATATTTGATCGTGTTTGAAAATAGTTTGTAATCTTTGTGAGACACTCTGTTTGCACTCTTCGTCCTGCTTAAAACTTATCCCTGCAAGTTCCCTTAATCCAGTAAATGACAATGTTTTCCATTATTCGAAAATGTTGTCAAAAATTTGATTAAAATGTTGTGAATTCGGTGATTAAATGTTTCTACATTTATTCTATCCCATTTGATTGGGCTTTCCAAATGATTTGATACCTTCTCATGGAGATGATTTGCTAACGATCCATAATTCATATATTCATGTATTTTTCGTCCCAAAGTTTCAATTTGATAAGCCTTGGCATAGTTTCTGCACATTCATTTGATTTTAATAGAGCTGTCAAAACATATTCGATATTTGCTTTTTTTATTTTGTTAAGAGTTTTCCTAACTGAAAAAAAGAATATTGGGAGTCTAACTTAATTTTTATTCATTTATGAATCTTACCCCAAATAATGCAAACGAAGAAAGATATTTGACACTTCTAGAGGCTTCCGGTTGGTTTTCAAAAGACATCCAGTTCGAAACTAAACTCTACATGTCTATACATGTTTTGTTTCATGACCAGAATAAGCTTTCACTAAAATAAACCATTTTTTCTTTACTTCGACAGCTTTTTTTAGAAACAAAAAAATAACTTACATTTACCCAAGACAGCCACCGCTGCCAGCTCATCTTAGACACAAACCAAACGGAACCGGAAACTGTGGAAGCTAGTTCTTGCCGGCTCCTGCCTTTGCTGTGTTGGCCAAGTTTGTCGCTGGCTCCTGCAGTGGAACCCATTGGGCTGTCGCATTTTTGGCCCGAAATATTTCCTCGAAAAAGATTTTCTCCTCTGTCCGTACTTCCGGCGAGTTGCCAATCAAAGTTCGGCCCAAAATCTCGCTGGAACCTGGAATAAAAATGGATTTCAATTATAAATATTAAGAAAATTAAACAAATTTGGTAAAATAAATACATATATCCTTTCCGCCACTCACCCAACAAACCATCATGAACAACCGTAAACTCTAGGACACAATTCTTTAGGGTTTCCTTGTTGACATCAAAGGCAAGGGCTTCATTATAGACCGGATTCAGGGTGCCCCTTTGCACGCCCGTCTTCCGTTTCTTCATCTTTTTGCCACCGGGCCCCAGAAGAGTCACCTTCACATAAGCATCCGAGGAGTTCCTGGCATCATCCACAATCCGTAGATTTCTTGCCTTAATCAGGACAACCATTAAACGTTCCGCCGAAGGCAAATAAGCCAGAGAAACCATTATATCCCCGAGATCCACTTTCATGTCCTGAGCCGAGGCAGAGCTCAATGGGGTCCAGAGGTTCAATTGCTCACTCAGATCCAAGTTGGCCAAATGCAACTTACTGCCACCAATGCACACATGACGGGAATAGGCATCAAAGTCGTAAAGCAAAATCTCCACAGTTCGTTTGTCAATAACTCCAGCGTTTACCTCAAACACAAATTGTTCATCGAAAACTGTTGGGATTTTAAAGAAATTGTTTTTAATATAATTGATATATAATTTTACATGAGTAATGTTTAATATTCACCTGGATTCAAGGTCTTTTTGTGTATGCGAGTCTGCCAAAAGTTCTTCTTGTCGGGCAGCAATCGTACCTTGGCATAAGGATCTGCAGTTCCACTGAATTGTCTTGGCTGAAGATTCTGAGCCTCCAACAGACGTACATTTAGCAACCCTCCCACAGGATCATAGCCTATGCTCACATGTAAGTTGCCACGGACTTCATTGACGGAAACTGGATTTATGGTCTTTGGTTGAGTGTGCTAATAAATAAAGAAAGTAAAATATAAGATATAGTTTAAAGTTAAAACATTACACATAAAAATCGACCAAAAAAAGTCCTCTTTAAATATACACTTCATAACTAACATTCCAAATGACTTTTGACATTTTTTTCGGTCTAAAAAAGGACACATTGTTGGCCAAAAAAAGATTATCCTTTCACTTACACTTCGATAAAGGGTCATGTCAATTTTCGTGTGATCCAACTTGGCATTCATCGAGGAAACCCTTGGCCGACTGGGATGCATGGCCAGGACAACATGTTTATCGGATCTGGCAATGGGCACCGAGGTCGTGGAGCAATAGGACAATGTATTCGACTTGAGGCTTCCGGTGGGCGAGGTGGGTGTGGGTGGTGCCGATTCTTCGGTGGTGTTGGACACCTGTTGCTGGATGGCAGCCGTCGCACTGGAGGTTACCGAGGCCGGTACCCAGAAGGCCGGGTCATTGTCCTCGCTGCGCAGCGAGGTGGGGCTAAGGTTGCCGGCATTTCCAGCTCCGAATTTCCCACGCGGCACCTCGTTTAGGTTGTCACATTGTAGCCAACAGCTCCGGCTACCAAGGCCTCGCGGCTGAAGTGAAATGAAAACAATTGTGGCTATAATATGCGGTTGGAAGCAACAGGGGTACTTTTACAAAATAAAAATAAAACAAATTCAGAGAGATGTTGAAAAACAAAACACAGATTTACCATTTTTAAAATGGAGAAAGGTAATGTGTTTCTCTAATTGTCTTATTTTAAGTAATATTCAATGCTCACCTCTGTTGATCCTCATCCTTTTCGGTGGCCGATTCCAGAAGGTTTTGCTCAAACCAGTTGAGGCGATAGCGTTTGGAGCAGGTCGTGTAGAGGGCTGCCCCCACCGCCGTGACAACCAAAAAGAACCGAGGCATAGACTCCAATCTGGGCCAAAGAAATGTCCTCTTCGCGTATTACTATGTCCATTTTTATCCTTTGAAGGGGGTGAAAAATCTGCAAAAAGGGACAAGGGGTCAGAGAACGCTCCTTTAAGTGACTTGGAAACGTGGGTCAATTACTCGCTCTGACCCCCAGCATCAGAGACATCTCCTTCTGGCCCCTAATGGCACCCAAACTAGCCATAAAACATTCATTAGCAAGTCAGGACCTGGGATGTATGTGTGCCTCATAAATAAATCAAAGCTCGGGTCCCCACGTCCGACATTCATCTTCCCCGCTCGCCGGCTTTGTGGGTTATTAATTGAGCGGCTTAAGGTGGTGCTGCTCTGGCACCCCAAAAACCTGACCACAGGCACGTGCTGACAGCATCCTGGCCACAATAGGTGGAAAATGAGGGGACCTGGCTTTGTCTCTGCCCGACCGCAGCCACAAAATTGCCATAAAGGCGCCTCAGCCTTAGTCTTTCGGCCTCGGTTAGTCCGCAATTAGCTGAGCAAACTGCCAGGTGACCCCGAACCCAGGCACCCCAACAAAATCCACAAAATTAGACCCACACTTTAAACAAATAGTTGAGGTATGAGTCACCTTTGAAACTTGTTAAATCACTACGGGAATTTAAGTTGGGCACTAATTTAAACTTGAGATTAAAAAGTCTCCTTTAAATGTATTATTAGCTTTAATATGAAAATTATTTTATGTTAACTTAATGATATTTAGTTTAATAAAATATGTATAACAGCAATTAAATTTTTAATATATAAAAAGCCCATCGAATTTCTTTCCGTGCAAAAGAAATGCAAAGAACGCGGAGACCTGCCAACAAGATGAAGCGATGTCTGTTCAAAAGCAAAAATTTATAACCAACTTGTTAATTAATTAGTATATTTATATTTGTAAGCCACCTTTGGATGAGTCCTGCTTTCGCTTCCTTGCCCCTGGACCTTTCCCTAGCCCAATACATCGCCCACGAGCACCCTTTTTTTCTGGGAATTTTGGCAAAATTTACTTTTCACTCATTATTTATTTATGGCCAACTTTTGTTTCGGGTCTACGCTTTCTTTTATAGCAATTGCCATCGCATGAGGTGTGTGTGTATGTGTATGCGGGTTCAGTGTTCCTACCTCTACCTTCTGTTTCCCTTAAAGAGATCCTTGTAAAGTCCTGGGGAAATGATTTATGTGCCTTGTGTTCAAGTAGGGGAGCACTCGACTGAATATCTTGGTCTTAATGTGACGGCTGGGCTTGGAAATTTATGAAATTAGTTTTAATTTAAACTTTGACAGTTACCAAGATAAGCTGAAGAGCCTGTAAATTAATTGAAAATTCGCGAGACAGTCTGTAAGAGGGAAATCTATTAGCCAGGCAATCCCCTGGGAAATATAGCAAAAGAGAGAAAGATGCCATTGAACTGATATTATATACCTTTTATATTGAACACCCCTCCGGCTCACGTAAATCACACATAACCCAATCAATGTCAAATTGAGCAGATCACACTGCCGCGCCCCACATCATCAGTCATTCAATCATTCCGTCATTCAGCCGCCTTCGCTCCGTCGGCTTTTGTCCTGACATAAAATCCAGGCCCTAGCACATGGTTATGTGTTGTGGTTTAAATCAATTGTCATACCCTTTTATTAACAATAAGACTTTGTAGTTTTTAATTCAATTTAACATTTTATGTCAGAACTTCCAATAAGGGTTTAATATAAATTTCATAAATATGTTGACCTTTTCAATTGGCTTAAGGGGATTATGGTTTGACAGCTGGCTTTAAATATTAAAGAATATATGTATGTATTAATATAATTTAAAATATATTTAATTTATGTTACATATTATTTTGATTTATTTTTTGAGATGTTTAATTAAACAGCTAAGCTTTAATAAACAAGTTACAAATCTAAATTGTAATCAATTCATTTCTGTCATCAAATTAAACAGTGCACAAAGCGGATGTCAATTATGTTTAATATATTCCAGGAACGAATTGTTATTTTATATTTTGAAATATATACTATCACTGTAAAGCAATATATAATAGCTTCATATATTTATTTAATATTACTAAAATGTTTTATGTAAACAAACCTAACTAAAGCCATTTAAAATCTCTCTCTAAATTTTATTTATAATCCCACAAATCTCTGTATATCTAGTCTACCATTTCAGGTGTTCCCATACCAGTTAAAGGGTATTCTTGAGGAATGCAACCAGCTCCCTGGTTGGGCCCGGTATTTGGCCACATGCATCATTCACGGATGTGTGTCGGTGCGTGGTGTGGCTGTGGGCCTGTGGGCATAGGGATTTATTGCCACTGTCATAAATTTTAATACAAAAACCGCGCTTTCAGGCGACTGTAGGTTTACTTTTTTTTTTGGTTAGCTTTGTAAATCATTTTGCGGCTGCCTTTATCATGGACATTTTCACTTTTCGCTGGAAAACCTAGATAAGCGACAGCACTACTTCCTGCGCGGTTTACTGTTTTCTGTTTGCGTCGCAGCCGCACACACAAAGTCAAGGCCAGAAATACAGAGACCAAGTCCGGTAATGTGTTGACAGAGCGACTAAAATTAAGTTTATCTAATCGATAAAATCAACCGCATGGTTCATTGCCTGCCTGGGAAAACGGTGTGTGCTCGCCCATGCCCGTGATTTCCTTTTGGCCTCAGTTAGCCTCAGTCAGTCGATTTCATCATCCGCGCTTTCAAAAAAAAAATAAACAGATAAGGATGCCTTTCAGCTTTCCAAGAGCCTCGAAGGAAAGCCCCCTCGAATTGCACAATTACGCCAAATTATGTTCATTAGTCTAATGAAGTGTTCGTTTTGTGGGGTCCAAAGAGCCAAGTTGGAATGTCAACTCCATTACTTTGATAAATCCACGCCCTGCTGTTCTTGTTTTTCCATGTTTTATTCTTCAGGGCATGCGAAAAATTGCAGTTAAAAGCAAGCTGGATCACCTAAGTACTCTATTATCCTGTGTGGCCAGGAGTGAGTTTAGTAAAAGTTCAGCAGACAGAAAATTATATGTAATTTGTGAAAATTTGCAAGCTTCAAGTTCATAGAGTTGGAAAGGGATTAATGTAACATACAGTCTCAGTTACATTAGTTTATTCCTCTTTAAATCTTAATTTAATTCTTTAAGCATATCGTATTATTATTGCTGTGCCTTTGATTGACCGGAAATGTCTCAACAACAGCTTCATTAATCCACTAAACCAGTTCCATTAAACTATCATTTTCCTCGACTTCCGGAAGCACTTTGCCCCTATTCTTCCGCCCGTTTTCCTTATTGTTCGGCTTATCCTGCCGTAGAGTATTGCGAAAGTGTTTTCCTTACCCCCTGCAGGTGCTTGGTTGCACACACACCTGGCAACAGTAATTAGATTACGACATCGGGTCCACCAGGATGCGCGTGTTGCTGTTGTGTCCTGCAAGGCTTGGACAAAAGAGTGACCGAAACAAAACCGAGCTCGTTCTTTTCAATTTTTCCTCGAGCACAGCAAAAAAATATTATAGTAATTAAAGCTTTACAAATGTAAACTTTATATTCAAAGATGGAACGAGTTACAGTCTGCTCTATTATAGTAATTCATTGAACTTCCATAATATTTCTCTATTGAACTATTTTTTAACATATTTCCCTTCTCATAATTCTCATTTTTCACAGTGTCTGTAATGCAACACGGCCCAGGTGTGAGTTTAAAACTTGTGAAGGCTGCCGGCCTGGAATCCTTCATACCCGTGTCCTCCATCCTGCATTGCAATGTAGTTTCAGTTGGCTTTAACTCATCCCCTGCAGATGGAAAAACAGGAGAACCTTCGGTGTGCATAAACAAGCAGCTAAAGTTATTTTCCCATCGCGACCTCCAGAAGTTGACGGATGCGTAGGTCCTGGCCGTCAATAATCAGGCATCAGCAATTTGTAATACTCGCCATAATGACACAGTCGAGGCGCTAGTTTATCCACATCGGCAACATCATTATCGTTGCACATCCCTCCCGCCACGTAATGTCTCTGTTTTTGTTATTCGAGTTGATTATCTGCCGGCGATGGCAGACTCAGTTGTTGTCCTCAATGTAAGGACATTGGGTGAGGAATATGGAGGAAGGGATAGAGATGGAGCCGAGTGACCCCATCACAGTCCTTGATAATTAGCCATCAATGAATATTTATAGGTTATGGCGGCGGATAAAAGGGATATTCACGGAGTTGAGTACTGGATTGGACCTTGGGGAATGCTTGTAAATTGATATATCAAAAAAAGTTACAACAATCTGATGGGAAATGTTATAACTTAATAGATTCGTTGAGTAAGAGATAAGATCCTTACAAATTGTATTCTTTACTAAGAGCTTATGGTTTAAATCCTTTAGACTTGTTTAAGTTTAAAAATGTACTTAATAATCTTTAATTTGCATAAAAAGAAACAAAACTCCCAATATCTTCTGAGTAATAAAACATACAAGTTAACAAACAAATTCTCTCAATCCTTTCGCTCTTACTCAAAAACCACTCGAGAAACCCAGTATATGCGATAAAAGCGAAAATAAAAGATCCCATTAAAATCAACAACCATATGTCAATTCGCCACAGGCCATTAAACCATGGGACAAGGCCGGCGGGACACAAAGGAAAATATTGAAAATAAAAAAAGAAAAAAACGTTAAAATAAAATAAAACACAACGCCACTGGGATGGCAAGATAAACAGCAATTTAATAAAGTGACCCAAAGTTATGCGCCCCAATCTAGCGACTAGCAAGAGCATAAAAATAAACAATAAAACGCTCATTAAAACGCTGAAAATGCCTAAGAAGTAAACAACGAAAAAAATGTTTACAAGCGCACTCAGCACGAGCAAAGAAAAAAAAGATATATACATATAAGGGAAACATACAGGGCCACGGAAATAATGATAAGTGTGATATTAATACTTGAGCTTGGGACAAAAGGAAAACCCCGCTCGGGACGCCCACGCAAAGGACCCAAATGGTGAGCCAGAGGCTAAAGAGCTGCCAATAACTCAACAAGTTAGCAAACATGGCTCTCTGGCTGGCTGACTGACTGACTCTGGGCTCCCTTTTTATGGCCTCGTCAATATGAACGGTGGGCTTCGGGCGACGTTTTTGCATTAAAAATGCATTAATCTTTGGACACGTGATAAATATTCATGGCTGCTCGAGATGGGATGGCCTGGCCAACGTAATAAATGCACTAGTTTAGTGCAGCCTGTTGACTGCCTGACACGCAATATATTCGGCCAAAAACGAGACGAAGGTCGGGTAGAGAGAGAGCTCCTGAATGGAGGTCGGGGGTCACGGTCAGAATGCGGGTGTTTCAAGGACATGCTTGTTGTGTTTAGTGGCTGCCTCTCAGTTCGCAATTCTCGGTTTCCTGGGCTCTGGGTTTTCTGCTCCACCGACAGGTTAAACAGCCTGCGGCTCAGGAATTTTCGGTTTTGTCGAAAGGAAATCCTCGCTGGCTTTTCATCCAAAATACGGCTAAATTGGGTAAGGACTTCAGCATATGTCGGTATCCATCCATCCGTCAAGCACTCCTTCACTCGACTAATTAAATTAAAATACCTTTTGCTTGGCTTTTGGGCGTACTTTTATCACGGCGACTGCACACAGTGTACACGCAATGCAATCGCTTTAATCAGTAATCAACTCAAAAAGGCATTTTCCAGGCAAGAGAAAGGGCAAAGGGCATTTTCCGAAGCAATATCTGATACGACAATATTATGGGTGTGACAGAGAAGATAAGAAATATTCATATATACTTCCAGTTTCCGTGTCGTATCTATGGTATAGAAATATCAATAAATATTTATTTAATCAAGTCAGAGTAATTTCAAAATTACTACAAATTGCAGGAAAATATGCTAAGGGATATTGTTGCCCAACAATTACCATAATTTCGTTAGACAACTTCTATAAGAAAGTCAAAAGACCATGGCGTTCCCCTTGGTCAGATTTAATTTCAAAACAATTTCCCTTACAACAACTTCTCCAGAAAATTAAGCTAAACTTTTCTAACAAAACCATTTACAAAAAAACTGGCTAGCTCAAGTTAACAACAAAAGTTCGGGGATAGCCTCCTGCAGACACTAGAAAATCAATTTACTCGGACACAAAAGTTCCATTACATTTGCCAAAAAAACCATTTCCCCATGAAGATATAACAGAAGCTTCAAAGCAATCTAATATTTAAAATTCTCTATGTGCAAATATTTCTGTAAAAAATTTAAACCCATTTCAAAATTTGCATGTAAATCAAATTCACATAAATCATGACAATATCTGCACTTACCGTTCGATTATTTGTAAATCGGCGACACAAATCTAAACAGATATTGTGCAAACAATTTTGTTATTCAAATTGCTGCATGCAATTTTCCGCTACAATATGTTTACGAAATCCTTTGATGGTTCAACGTGGCGTATGCGCGATTTGCTCTATACGGAGCATCGCATACTGTGCGTGTTTTTGGGCGCTTAACGAGTTTTCCAAACAATTTCCTTATTAGCTGGCTTTCATGAATTTGTAACTCAATAATCCCCTGGGCACACTGGTCAATTATTTTCATAAATTCATCCGTGAAGAGGTGATAACTGAAAGCGTTGAATTTTTTGCTTCTTTTTGTTTTTGGTTCACGCGCTTCAAGAACTTAACCAGAGCGTTGCTGAAACTCGACTGTGTTTTTGTTCACCAAAATTACACGCAGTTCCCTCGATGTCATTTTCCATCGCACTAACACAGTGGCACTCACACATACACGGGCTCATACGAGCCCGAATTCCGAACTGAAAACGTTGCATACTTCTAGGAAAAGGTTTGCTAGGAACTCCTTTTTTATTATTTATAAGTAGGATTATGCCATCTTCTACTTTAGTTTATATTTGTAGTTTTTTTTACATTAACCGGCTATTTTATGCAACTGAATGGAATGAAAAGCCATTTTAGGAAAAGCTTTCCTACAAGCAACAGCTGGGTCATTTTCTGAAAAGCCCGCCAATTCCCAAGCGGTTTATTTTTCGAACCTCTTGGTGGAAAGCTTTGTTTGTGAATAAGCTTCATTACTTTTGGCGTTGCCATATAATTTTTAATATATATATATATTAAATAAATAATAAAACAGCATTTATAAATATATATGATTATAAAAAGGTATTTGACATACCAAAATATTTTTAATCTGATTTAAGAGGGTGGAAATTTCATTAGTACATTTCTATAATAAGATATAATCATTTAAAATTGTAAATTTGGCATTTCTTCTAAGCATAATTACATTAAGTAAATAACTCTGAACACCAAGTATATATGACCAGCAAGTATCAATGGACATTAAGTTACTATGACCAGTAAATAACTATGATCAGTAATTAACTATGAGCAATAAGTACTTATGAGCAGTAAGTAACTCTGAACAGAAAGTATCTTTGACCAGTAAGTATCTATGACCAGTAAGTATTTATAATCAGTAAGTATGTATAATCACTTACTTATTTTGAACACCAATAAACAATGACTTGCAACTTTTGTAACACAACACATTTCTGAGACTTGGCCGGCAGCAGTCACTTCGTTCCGGGGATGTTAGAGCCAGTTGGGAATCATATGATACGATGATATGATAACTATGAACAGTAAGTATCTATGACCAGTAAATAACTCTGAACACTAAGTATCTATGACATGTAATTAACTTTAAACAGTAAGTATCTATAACCAGTAAGTAATAATGATAAGTAAGTATGTAAGATCAGTAAGTAACTATGATCACTAAGTATTAATGAACATTTAGTATCTATAACCAGTAAGTATCTATGACCGGTAAGAATTTTAATTAGTTACTTACTTTGAACACTAATAAACAATGACTTGCAACTTTTGAACACAACACATATCTGAGACTCGGCCGGCAGCAGTCACTTCGTTCCGGGGATGTTAGAACCAGTTGGGAATCATATGCACAGATACGCGAGATTTGTTTTGGAACAAATTTAAGCTATTTCAATGAAACTATGAGTTATTCTTCTATATAATTTTACTAGTTTATAAGTATATAAGTTTCACATATAGACATTTTATAATTTTGTGTAAAATTTTATAAAAATCGGACTACCATATCATATAGCTGCCATAAAAACGATCGTTAAAAATAGAGGAAAATGCAAAATGTTGAATGTAAAACTATAAATATAAAATATTTAGGTGAGTAAAATGAAGGCATTGCTTTATTGTTTTTTAACATAGCAATCTAAAGCACTGTATGACAGTACTCAAATTGCAAAGATTAATTGGTCTTTCAATTAATAATTCAAATAAAATTATTCTTTTTTTTAAGCTTACTCATCGAAACATTTCCGGCCGTGGACTTGGCAATCGCCTTCAAGGTAAATGTCCGCACATTTTTTTCCAACCTTATCACTGGATTTTTGCAAAATCCGGCACGTACTGGGGAACTTGTAGAAATACAACTTTGATCCCCAGCGTCTACACATTTCTTAGACTAGAGTCTGATAACAATGATTCTCGTCATTAATAAAAAATGATAGAGTCACAAAATGAACCACCTTTTTTTCCCCAAAAAATCTTGACGCATGTTCGGAAGTCGTGTTAAATTTGGAAAGATAACCCTACGAATGGGGTCCAGATTGTGCGCAATTCTTCTTAGAGTCGTTCTCAGGCTATCTCTTGGGCTTCAGTGATATTTGATATGGCTGCATCAACTCGGATTTGACCTCAAAGTCAAAGTCAAGTGGCTTAGCCCAGTTTTACATAGATCGCATAATACTTTCGATTACGATTACGCGGCAATTTTGTGCGGTTTGAGGGCGTTATTGAACGTGATGATGCTGATCTTAACACTGACTTGTTGGGGTATTGAATTTCTAAATGTCGTGGAAACCATAAAGCAAACTTGAACCCATTTTAAAATAACAATTCAACAATAACAATTTATATGTGACGTCTTTACTTTTTTAATAATATTTCGAGGCTAAATTATTTACTTTTTGCTGGAATTTTTTATTATTTGTATAATAATTTCTAGCTTTGTGTTTAATTCAGTGCTTAAGAAATAATATTTATATTAAAACGGCGCAGTTTTAAATAAATAACAAGATTAGTTTTAAAACACTTACAAATTGTTTTTGCTAGGAATTTTTTATTGTTTAAATAACATTTTTTCTATGTTGCTTACTTTAAAATTCTAAATTTCTTTCTTATTTATATTACTTACATGGCACTTGCAAATTCTGTTTAATTTTGCAATACTCGCTATTTTTGTATAAATAAATGTGCATTGTTTACAATATTCGAGCTACGTTTTGTCTGGCCCTTGAATTATTTGCAAATTAAATAGTCTGGCTAATTGCATCAGCATTTTTTGATTGCGCAATCATTATTATAAAACTTACTTGTATATAATAAAGAATTAAAATTCTAATAGTTCACCAAGTTCAGAAGCGTGGCATACATTTTTTTTAATTTCTATTAAACCCAAATTCAAGTTCAAAGTTTCATATTTAGTGATAATCGAGAATAATCTTTGTTCCCATTACGCGACTTCGAAAAAAAAATTGAGAACAAACGTCAGAAGCGTGACACAAATTGAATTAATTACTTGCTGCAGCCATTTTTGAGGTCTTTAAAGCGCATTTAATTTATTTGAAATTGATTATGGCAGGCTATTAACCCAAAACATATTTTGATTACTTAAATGACTTGCGATCAAACGGTTCGAATCGTAGACTCCCGATGCACGTTTGACTTGTGCCAATAAATCAATTGTAATACTGATAAGACCGATGCGAAATTTCCTTTTAAATTAAATGGTGATGATCGCCCCATTAAAAATGATCAGGTAGCAGGTAGTAAATCTGGTTTTGTAAAGAGAACAACTCTTACATTATGCTCATGCCTCATCTGCCGAAGCATAGTGGGGAATTGACTCATTAAACTATAGTTAATAATAGCTTTTATTTCACAATCTCGTAATCAGTGGCGATGTAACGAGCCCTCCCATGAACAAACTAGTTTTTTTGTTGCCACATAAAGGGTTTTCTAGAGGAAAGTTAATCGTAACAATATTGGGATCCATAGAAATTTTTAAATTAATTCACCTTAGACTTTGTAGGTACTCAAATATTTTGTAGATAATTTTTTCCTTATGCCAATTTTGTCTCAAATATTAGTTAGTTAGCAGTTAGCATATATCATATAATTCTATTATATCTTCAGAAATAGTATTATTTATTGGGAATAATAATACGATATTATTATTAGTATATATTGAAATGATGAGAAGTAATCGACAATACTGTCACAGTTAAAACAGTTTTGAAAATATCAAATTAAGTTAATTGTTTTTGTTTGATGTTAAACTATGCATTATTAAATAACCTTTTGAGGGGTTTAGAAATACAAATAATTTTTGTAGCAATATCTTATAAATTCTCTGGAAATACCCTTATATTACCCGATCATTTTCAACTTCGTGTTTTACATCCGAAGTCTTATCACTTGTCGCTCGGCTCTGAAGCTCGATTCACGTGTTGTCATTTATAAAACGATTACAATCCAAGGCATGATTGACACTCCAGTGACGGTGGCTGCATAAGACACACAAGACTCACAGAGACGCGAGAAAAACTGGTATTTGAAAACCCAATCAAGCGGAACACAACTCTCAACCTGACTCCAGACTGTCTGCAGTGATTGTGTGGGATTACAAAATATATACGACAAGTGCGACAGAAAAGTGAAAGGCCTGGTTAATTAATTACAAAATGTCATCGGCTCTGACAAATCTCTTGCAATCTCTGAGGATTGTGCCCTTCGGCAGCAAGGCAATGGTGGCCTCCAGTGAGAAGGAGCGCTTGAAGGTGACAGATCTGCCGGAGATCTCGCTGGAGGAGGTGGCCCAGCACGATAGCTTCGATGACTGCTGGGTGGTTATCTACGATCGGGTTTACGACGTCACACATTTCCTGAGGGATCATCCTGGCGGCGAAGATGTCATCATGGATCATGCTGGACGGGATGCTACGATCGCATTCCATGGCACTGGGCATTCCCGCGATGCTGTTGAATTGATGAGGAATTTTCTAATCGGAGAACTGCCGGTCAAGCAGCACATATTTCGCACCGGCCAAAACAAGGTTCTGTCCTCGGGAATACCGGAATAATAGTGTCAGATGATCCATTGGCGATCGCCCGGTTAATCGATCGCTTCCGCCGCCGTCCTCCACACACACGTCTTTCTATCTATGTCTTCAGAGTATTCATTGATTTTGTGTCTAGCTTTAATCAGTCTATTTCGCATTTCGCAAATTGCTTTTTGCTCGCTCATCAATTGCCATTCGGCAGAAATATGTGTGTTTATTTATATAATGATGTATATTTTTGTAAAGACTTGAAACGGATCTAAGATTAAATTATTTAAATTGTGACTCTGGCGTTTCACTGATTAAAAATGGGTTCTAGTATGAACTCGGAGCAGGTAACTTATTTGGTTTAAACAGAAATTATTTCTGTATTTCCTCTCTATATCAGTAATACTTTATTTGGTAATATTTATCTTATACAAAGATCTTGACATTATGTAAATGCACGAAAAAGAAATGCTTATGGCAAAACTAAATATCACTTAACAGATTTTCACTTGGCTGCTCTGACAAGAGGTTTCATCCACCTCAACCTCTGACTAGTACACAATTATTTGGCTTTCTTCCAATTGACTTATAAAATATTGCTTCTTTTCCATTGCTTGCTTATCGAAAGAACCAGTTTGGTCCTGGCAGATCCTGACTACCTTTTAACTATTGCTGCTGGTGGGTGGTTCGTTGTGAGGTCCTTGAAGGAGAGCCTGCAATTTGGCAGCCGCTGGGAAGGCGCCCAAGTCCAAGGGAGCGGCTCCCGTTGTGCTTTGTATATAAGCCAGAAGTCTGAAAATTAAGGAAGTAATTAGTTTGATATTTTATGTGTTTTCCTAGCAGTTCTTACCTTCTCAACTCTTCGAGGGCATTCTGCTGCATAAGTATGTAGTTCTTGGCCAGCAGCAAGGTGGCTATCTTGGACAGTTTCCTCACCGATGGTGAGTGGGCATAGGGAATCACACTTCGCAGCTCATCGAGGGCATCGTTCAGATCGTGCATCCTTCGCCGCTCCCTGGCATTAATGTTCAACCTCACTGTTTTCCCTTGACGATTCTTTTGCTTGCCACCATTCGATCCACTTCCACCGGGGCCGGAACTCGTCCCACTGGACACGGCCACGGTGGTGGTGCCACCACTTATAGCCGCAATGGCTGCGGCAGTGGGACTCAGCGGCTTCTCCTGTCCACTACCTCCTGGTTTGTTCTCATCCGTGGGCGGCTGGGACATGGACATTCCTCCCATTCCCTGGGCATAGAAGCCACCCAGACCTACCGATCCCAGTGGAGTGCGACGACCGGGTACACTCTGCGGTGGACTGGCGGTGGGTGCTGGATGACCACCCAGCATGTTGGCAGTGGGTGGTATCGGCATGTGTCCATGATTGGGAAGGCCGGGAAAACCAAAAGTCATATTCGAGGGATCCATTTCTATTTAACGTTAATGATTTTGCAGCTCTGAAATGAGTTAAGTTGGAAGGGATGCGTAAGTTTTCAGGGTAGTCCTTGCTTCGGAAAATGGCAGGGTTGCATTTGTAATCGAAGGATATCAAATAGGGGTGGAAACTCTCAGCTGATGTGAGGCGCCAGCTAACGGAATATTTATGAAACACAGAGATTGAATAAGTTTACTGAGTTTGATATATCAATAAACAACAATTTCTTTTGAAATTTAACTTAACATTATAACTAAAACGTATTAAATGTTGGTATATTTAATTCCATATTTATAAAGATATATATTTTATTGTTTAAATATTCATAAAAACAATATGGCGCCATCTTTTAACTTTCAAGTCAGCCATAAGTATTGCCCAGCTTTTGCCTAGATGGCGCTTGGGAGTAACGAAGGTTTAAAGGACATTTCAGTTATCCTTTTTTAAATTCATATTTTAATCGGCTTTCTGTGAATTTATTTCCATGAAATAAAATATAAGCTTTTAACAGGAAAGCAATGAATTCTCGTCAAACTTTTTATTCTTCATTTTCCACTTAATGCCTGAGAAATCACGACTGCCATTTATTTTACTTGCTGTTAATTTATGACACACTTTAAGGATTATTTATTTAAATTAACCACAAGTCACAAGACCACTCAAAAACGGCCGAGTGCGGCAAAAGAAATGGCGGATTTAAGCATTTTTCAAACAAATATAAATCGCACGCACCACAAACCGAGGAAAAAATTAAAATGCGGCTGCTGTGTCAGAGGATTCCTGACTCTGATTCGGATTCAGGACTCGAAATTGGAATCGGATTCGATGCGCGAGTGTGAGGTGCCCGGCAACAACAGAGGCGACCGCGATTTTGTGGTGGGTTATAGTAGTCCCATAACGATTTTCCGATTCTTCTCTCTCTTACTCGATTTTTCTATCTCTCTCTTTCTGTATAATGCTATCTCTGTTGCTCTGGGATGCTGACGGAGCGCCGCCGTCGATTATAAACTTTTTGCCACCGACGCCACCGTTGCCACCGTCGCCGTTTGGTGTTAATCTCTTTCTGTTCTGCAGAAGGAATATTATGAGGCACTATATAAAAATGTGGGTCGGGTGTTGACGCCGGTGGTTGACGTTTAGTGGTTGTGCCTCGAATAATGCAGCATCCACACCAATACGTACAACAGTCCTAGCAGCATTACACACAAACGCACTGGGATAGATGAGTCATTATAGGTGCACTTGGGAAAATAAAGATTCATCTCTAATTTTTTTGAAAATAATATATCTCGATGAGGAAGAAAAAAGGTTTACAGATGTCTGAACCGTAAAAGATTTCGAAACTTTCTATAAATAAGTTAAGAAAGATTTCTAAGCCTCTGTATTTTATTTAACATCAGAAATGAGCGCTTAAATAAAGAAACTTTCACTTTCAAAACAAATAGTTTATTAATAAGCTTAATGAATGAGGCTTAGTTTTAGGATTAACGATATTTTTTGTATTAAATAATTTAAATACTACTTTTCTAAGAGCAGAATCTCCATTTAAGTAGTCATTCATTTCCAGAATAGAAAACTTTCCAAATATTTCCTTGTACATTTAAAAATGTAATTCCGCGTTTGTAGGTAAAGATTAATATATAGGAATTTTTCAATTAAACTAAGATAATATTTTGTATAAATATTGTTCTTATATTTGCTTTTATTCATTAGAGAAATCATGTACGGGCACAAACCAAACATAAAATAATTTTCCAAATATAAAATAGTCAAGTAATCATTCTTTCAGTAACTAATACTTAATCTGTAATATCACGCTATTGATGTACTATTTATTTTATTATTTATAGTTACTTTTCCTATATTTTTATTGTATTTATTCAGATTAATTCACATATATTTTGGACCAGTGTAAGAAGTTTTTAATGCCCTGCTCTGACTGTCCGAAAATTCATTTCTCTTGTTGTTCGAGAATTTTTATCGTTTCGCTCCTTTTCAACCCCGATGGCCCAGAGTAGCCACCCCTCCTTTCCTGCCCAGCCAACTCAGGCTCCTTTGTCTGTGATTTCAATTTCCATTGAAACTGAATCTAATCACATGCTCACTGCCTGCTGATCCTGGCCCGCCTCCTGCCTGCTCCTGGGGGTTGATGCTCGTGCATCATAGCATACACACATACATACGTATATAGTAGCATATAAGGATATTTCATATATAGCATAGCAAGAGGCTGCCGCATCTGCATGGCATTCTGTGCGTTTGTATGTGAGAGAGAGTTGCCTGGAAATTATGGTATCGCATTGTTCAAAGTTGGAACAATGCCATAAATGGCACATGCCAAATATTTTTGTTAGCCGGGGCCATAGTAGGAAACATTACCCTAGTGAAAGGGCATAGGAAATGTTTGAAAATACCATATCCTAGACTAGTTTAAATTACTAACTAAAGAGTGGGTACAACTGTTTTATTTCTAAGTAAATATTATCTTTTAAAGCCATTGATTTGAATTGTTTTGTAACTCTCTAAAGAAATTCTATACAAAATACTTTGGTTGACTTACTTAACTTATAAGCTTACCTTTTAAATAAAAGAGTATCCTTTGATTCGATATGTTAGTAGTTGTTTCAAATTTTCATATTCCTGGTTAGTGCTGTGGCATGGAAAACTTAAAAATGAGAATGTTCTAACTGGATTTTGTTAAAAACCACAACAATTTAATTGATGGAAAAATGTAGAAATTCTCAGTTTTCAAAAACTATAACAAGAAATATTCTTGTTATTTATTATATATATTTAGCTTCTAGTTGGATATATCTAAATTTCCTAACCCAAGCCAAGTTTGGCATCTCTGTTTTCCCCTGTCAACTGCAATGGGCACTAATGACTTTGCACACTTTGGACTTCTCGGAATATTTATGTATCAGTGCCCTCGCCTTAGTCCTTAGTCCTTAGTATAAGTCAAACTAAGAGGACAAGCGACAGAACTAATGACTTCGCCATAATAAATTTAATAATTTTGCACTGAAACTTTTCCTTGTACATTTTTTCAATTGTTTGATGCGCTTCCCTCGTTAAAACTAGGGGAAATTATTGTGTCAGATGTTCGGGACCAGAGCCCGCCGTATGCCATTATTTTCAATGAAATCCGGAATCTGGACAGCAGACCCTCTAGGCAATGCACCATTTGCCTGGGATTTCTTTTTCGGCTTGGTATATTTGATTTTTTTGCCCGTTGCAGTGAACTCTCCCCTATTGTAATTGTTCTGCGACTAATTCAGTTTTATGCAGCATTTACATTGCAATTTACGGCAACCAAATAATTTCGACTTTTCAACCCCGAGATCCGGCCGAAATTTAAATTTTCGGTTTACTCATTTTATGGCCACATTTTTATCAATCCATATACATATAGATGGGCATTTGTCGTTGGTCCCCGGTGTCCCCGGAATACCCGAATCCCTGAATCCCCGGATCCCCTGTTTCCCGGGTCCGGCAATGAGGAATTTCATTATAATTTGCATAATTTATGCGCGACCGTGATTTGCATAATTAAGATTTGTAATTTGTGCATGCCAGTCATCATTAGCTTAGGTTCCGCACTGCGGACCAATTGTAAATGGCCTGCCCAGGGATTTTTTTGTAGTCCTTTTCGTACCCCTCAATCTGTCAAGGGGTTGTCAGGGGTTAACAGCATGTCCTCGAACTATGTCAAAAGTATTTCTTAAAAATTAGAATTGCTAAGTTAACCCTAAATATATTTTTAGAATATTTAAGGAAAACATTTTTCGGTAGTTTTAAGATCTTTTTTATATATTTTATTTAAATGATATTTCTATAAACTTATAAGTCATTTATTGATTACTACGTTGTCCAGAGCTAAGATTCAAACTCAACATTTTGGGTATCCTTTGGTCGAATCTTGAATAATTTTCATCCCTCAATTATTCGTTAGAGAAAATTACAAATGCAAAAGTAGCCGAAAACCCAAGCGAAACCCCAATTTAATGTTTGGGTATGCACAAATTAGACAAAAAATTATTGGCATCCTTGGGCTTCATGGGGCTGGAGGACAACTAACGACACTCCGTGGGGCAATGTGAATCAATCATTAGCATTTTATTGTTGTAAAAACCAATTTGGCACATTTATGAAGAGGGGCCAACGTGTTGTTTCCCCGCCTTGGAGATTCGGTTGATTTTTCGGGTTTATGGCTTTCTAACCTTATTATCGATGGGCTTTCGTTCGATTGGCAATATTTATGGCAGCCCATGACGTTACTCTAATGATTCCCTGGCGTATCATGTTCAAGGTAGCAACTTTTGATCCTTTGAGAATACACACACACACACACACACGCTCACTTGACAGTCCCATATTTTATTTCGTTATTTTTATTGGCAGACGTCAACGAAATACAAAAATGTGTCAATTGTACGCTGGGGAAATCGCTGCCGCTGTAAGCAGCCGAATGAAGATATATTTATCACTCATTTCCGGCCTGACAAGCCTGATGTGCTTTTGCCATTATCCAAGAGTTTCTTCCAGCCAAAGATAAATTGCCACATTTTGGATAACAAAAGGAAAAGACTCTCGAAACATTTGGCAGATTTTATTTTATGGCCCTAAGAAGGAGCTATACTTTGCGAGAGGTTAGACAATGAGGGCAGTCGGAATACTTTAAGGGAGTTACTAAAAGGATAATGAAATAGTCATAGAAAACAAAAATACCATATATGTTTTAATATATTTGCCGTCTATTATATTTCATCCTAAAATATGTAAGGTTAATGTAAACATTTTGTACTATTTTTCACTTTATTTGAACAGCTCATGGAAATTTAATATAAACCCTATACAATTTCCTATTTATCTGTGCTAAATTTAAAGACTATTTCCATGGCTGCACTAAAGTAATGTTAAATACTAAACAGCTTCTATTATATACTAATCCCACACACACATCCCCCTCTGACATCGCACTCTAAATAATTGCTCTGTCACACATAATAGTACTTGCCACGGAAATGGAAAACTGTATCGCACAAAAAAAAAAACACAAACCCCGTGAAACGATTTGCAGCCAAAATTTGATTTCCCCCTTTGATAGGATTTCTCATCCATTAGCTCAACTGAATGGATGGCGTCAGAGCTTTTATTGATTACACCCCGAAAAGCGAAAAAAGCGAAATAATAATCATTTCAGACAAAAGAAAAGCGTGCAATATTTTATCAAATTATGCGATGTATGCAACTTCCGGTATAGGGCGAAGCCTTGACACCCCGCTGCCCGACGAGGCGTACTTACAATTTATCAGCATCAAATGGAAACCAAATAGCGAGCGAGGGTGGATCGAGGGGTAGTAAGCCAGCTACAGCAGAACAACAATAATACAGCCGGAGCAATACCAATTCGAATTAAAATGCTGCTGATGCTGGAAGGATGCTGCCAGGATGCGAAGGTTGTGCGAAGGCTGCGAAGGATGAAAATTGAGCACCACCCCGGGCAACCGGCCACCGCCACCGCCGCCGCCACCCTTGCGAAAAAAGGGGTTGTTTGTCGGTTTCCCCTAGGTTTTCTTTTTCCTTTTTTTTTTGTTGTTGTTGTGTTTGTGTGTTATTTTTTTGCGCGCGCGTTGTTGCAAATGGATATGGAATGTTACACAACAAAAAGGGAGTAGGGTGGCCGAGTGGAAGTCGAAAAAGAAGAGCTCGAATCAAAACCAAATACCAAAAAGAGAACAAAAACGAACAGCAAAAAAAAAAATAAAATATTGCAGAGCCACGGACCACCACGCACAGGACACGGAAAGGACCTCGCAACCAGGAACAATTCG